ATGACCTGTACGGTTCTCACTTAATGACATCAACAAGAATTGCCATTGCTTCATGGATTACTACCTTGGTGTGGCAAAGGGGCTTGCGTAACTCAGTGAAGCTATGAGCTATGCCATGCAGGGCCACCCAAGGCGGACACGTCATAGTAGAGAGTTCTGACAAAATGTGATCCACTGGAGAAGGAAATGGCAATCCACTCCAGTATCTTTGCCATGAAAACCCCATGGACAGTACCAAAAGGCAAAAAGACATGATGCTGGAAGATGAGCCCCTCAGGTTGGAAGGTGTCCAATATGCTACTGGGGAAGAGCAGAAGGCCAATATTAGTAGCGCCAGAAAGAGTGAAACCACTGGGCGAAAGCCGAAAGGACACTCAGCTGTGGATGCATCTGGTGGTGAAAGGAAAATTTGATGCTATTAAAGATCTATTCTCCATAGGAATAGGAATGTAAGATCCATGAATCAAGGCAAGCTGGACGTGGTCAAACAAGAAATGACAAGAGCGAACATCGACATCTTAGGAATGAGCGAACTAAAATGGACAGGAATGAGTATACTACTGTGGGCAAGAATCCCTCAGAAGAAATGAAGTAGCCTTTATAATCAATAAAATATTAGGAAAAGCAATACAGGGATACAATCCCCAAAATGACAGAATGATCTCAGTGCGAATCCAAGGCAAACCATTCAATATCACAGAAGTCCAACTCTATGCCCCAACCCAATTTCAAGAGGATGAAATTAACCGGTTCTATGAAGCCCTACAGCACCTTATAGAATCAACACCAAAAAATGATGTCCTTATCATCATCAGGATTGGAATGCTAAAGTAGGAAACCAAAAGATAACCAGAATAACAGGCAAATTTGGCCTTGGAGTACAAAATGAAGCAGGGCACAGGCTGTCAAGAGAATACGATGGTCATAGCAAACAATCTTTTCCAACAACCCAAGAGACGGCTCTACATATAGACATCACCAGACGGTCAACATAGAAATCAGATTGACTATGTGTTCTGCAGCCAAAGATGGAGAAGCTCTATTCAGTCAGTAAAAACAAGACCAGGAGCTGACTGTGGCTCAGATCATGAGCTTTTTGTTGCAAAATTTAGGCTTAAATTGAAGAAAGTAGGGGAAAACACTAGACCACTCAGGTATGAACTAAATCATATCCCTGATGAATATACTATAGAGGTGACAAATAGATTTAAGGAACTAGATCTGATAGACAGAGTGCCTGAAGAACTATGGATGTTCACAACACTGTACAGGAGATAGCAATTAAAACCATCCCAAAGAAAAAGAAATGCAAGAAAACAAAATGGCTGTCTGAGGAAGCTTTGCAAATAGCTGAGGAAAGAAGGGAAGCAAAAGGCAAGGGAGAAAGAGAAAGATACACCCAACTGAATGCAGAATTCCAGAGAATAACTGGAAGAGATAAGAATGCCCTCTTAAATGAATAGTGCAAAGAAATAGAATAAAACAATAGAATAAGAAGGACCAGAGATCTTTTCAAGAAAATTGGAGATATGAGGGGAACGTTTCATGCAAAGATGGGCATGATAAAGGACTAAAATGGCAGGAACCTAACAGAGGCAGAAGAGATTAAGAAGAGGTGGCAAAATTACACAGATGAACTATACAAGAACAAGCTTAGCGTCCCTGATAACCACAATGGGGTGGTCACTGACCTCGAGCCAGACATCCTAAAATGTGAAGTGAAATGGGCCCTAGGAAATCTGAGCAACAACAAAGCTAGTGGAGGTGATAGTATTCCAGCTGAGTTATTCAAAATCTTAAAAGATGATGCAGTAAAAGTGCTATACTCAATTTGCCAGCAAATTTGGAAAACTCAACAGTGGCCACAGGATTGGAAAAGGTCAGTTTTCATTCCAATTCCAAAGAAAGGCAATGCCAAAGAATATTCAAACTATTGCACCATTGCACTCATTTCACATGAAAGTAAAGTTATGCTTAAAATCCTACAAGCTAGACTCCAGCAGTATGTGGATTGAGAACTTCCAGAAGTACAGGCAGGATTGCGAAAAGGCAGAGGAACTAGAGATCAAATTGCCAACATACGCTGGATCATGGAGAAAGCTAGGGAGTTCCAAAAAAACATCTACTTCTGCTTCATTGACTATGCTAAAGACTTTGATTGTGTGGATCACAACAAATTGTGGCAAGTTCTTAAAGAAATGGGAGTACCAGATCATCTTATTTGTCTCTTGAGAAATCTATATGCGGGTCAAGAAGCCACAGTGAGAACTGGACACAGAACCACTGATTGGTTCAAAATTGGGAAAGGCATCCAGCAAGGCTGTATTCTATCGCCCTGCTTATTTAACTTAGATGCAGAGCACATCATGAGAAAGGCAAGGCTAGATTAATCAAAAGTTGGAATTAAGATTGCCGGGAAAAATATCAACAACCTAAGATATGCAGATGATACCACTCTAATGGCAAAAAGTGAAGAGGAACTAAAGAGCATCTTGATGCAGGTAAAGAAGGAGAGTGCAAAAGTTGCCTTGAAACCCAACATTAAGAAAACCAAGACCATGGCATCCAGCCCTCTCAATTTCTGGGAAATAGATGCGGAGGAAATGGAGGTAGTGACAGATTTTATTTTTCTGCTCCAAGATCACCTCAGATGGGGACTGCAGCCAAGAAATTAAAAGATGCTTGCTCCTGGGGAGGAAAGCTATGGCAAATCTAGACAGCATACTAAAAAGCAGAGACATCACCCTGCCAACAAAAGTATGTATAGTCAAGGCCATGGTTTTCCCAGTTGCAATGTATGGCTGTGAAAGTTGGATCATAAGAAAAGCTGAGTGCCAAAGAATTGAGACCTTTGAACTATGGTGCTGGAGAAGTCTCCTGCGAGTACCCTGGACTGCAAGGTGATCAAACCGGTCAGTCCTAGAGGATATCAACCCTGACTGCTCTTTAGAAGGCCAGATCCTGAAGTTGAAACTCATAAATACTTTGGCCACTTAATGAGAAGGAAGGACTCACTGGAGAAGAGCCTAATGCTGGGAAAGATTGAGGGCAATAGAAGAATGGGGCGATAGAGAAAGAGGTGGCTGGATGGAGTCACTGAAGCAGTAGGCGTGAGCTTAAATGGACTCCAGAAGTTGGTAGAGGACAGGAAGGCCTGGAGGAACATTGTCCATGGAGTCGTGATGGGTCAGACACGACTTCACAACTAACAATAACAAAGCAATGCAAACATATGATATTGTGCTTTACAACCACATCATTTAGCAATGACAATTCCAGTCCCAATTCCAGTATAAGTTGAGTGCTACCTGTATTAATATTATTATATACATGAGATTAGAGTAAATCAACATTTTTTTCACTTTTTAAGTCTTTAGAAAATGCTGGCTGACTATTTCATTGGAAGTATAAAATGATTCACGGTTATTTGCTCATATGATATAGTCTTGCCACACTAACATTCTGTTTTGGATTAATACCCATTAGAATGTTAATATCATTTAGAAAAGAATACATAAAAAGTATAATGGATTCTGAACTGTAGGCCAACATTTGGAATTTAACATATGAAAAATTATGGATTTATTCGGCGTGGGTATAATAAAAAAGATTAATCTTTGATATTTGAAAAAGCATTCCACGCTAGATTTACAATGATAATATTTGTTTGTTCACTTACTGACTGACCCAATAAAAACATAACCAGTATTATTTCACTAATATTTCACTAATATTTCATTAAGTTTTAATACTGCCCTGTTAAAATACTTTAACACCATCACCATTAGAGATTGTTGACAGGATACCATCTGTTTATTGGTTCCTGGTGTTTTTGCACAGATTTTTTTTTTGCATAGTTTTAAAGTTTTAACAGTTTTTCTACTTGTATTTTTATGATCTGTAACCCACCAAGAATCACCTTATTGGAGAGATGGGTGACATATAAATTTAATAAATAAACAAATAAAACTTTATTTAAAATCGGAACTGCCTTTTTATGCATACATTTTTGTCTTTGTCATTTTTCTCTTTCTTTAATGTTTTTCCTGTATCTTTCTTCTCCCCCCCCTTTTTTGCATATTAAATCAAATTTTTAAAAAAAGAGAAGCTACATCAAAACAAATTAAGTATTCAGAAGGCAGGTCTCCTGAATACAGTAAACTAGTATCAGCTAATACTATTCAAGTGTTTTGATTTAGCATAAACTAAAAGTGGCAAAAAGCCAAAAAAAAACCTAATTAGCAGAAAAAGAGAAAGAAAATTACATAAAAAAGTTTTTTCACTGTAAAATAATTAATTATTTTGTATTTATGCTATAGGGTTTTGTTTTGTTTTTTGCATGTCACTTAATTACCAGAGCATTAAGCATTCAATATTTGAAGTAAAAATTATATATAAAAATTACTCCAGTTTTTGATTCAATTTTTAAAGTCAAAACATTTTGAGAATGCCTTCAGGTTTGGCAACCAACAGATGTCTGTCCTACGCATATATAACTGTTTACCTCAGTTTGATTAATATATAGAAATTACATGCATAATACATGTAAATGCATAAACTTCACATCAGCTATTAAATATTTGAATCACCAATATTTTATCTGAGGAATAGGAATGCATGCCAATTGCTAAGCTAAATAGACAGATGACAAAATACATTGAGCACAATTAACTGAGAACAATTAACCAGTGGAACAGCTTGCCTTCAGAAATCGTGGGTGCTCCATCACTGGAGGTTTTTAAGAAGAGACTAGATAGTCACTTGTCCAAAATGGTATAGGTTCTCCTGCTTGAGCAGACTAGAAGACCTCCAAGGTCCCTTCCAACTCTATTCCATTCTATTCTAAAAATTTCCACTGAGCTATGGATACCTCATTAAATAAGCAATAATACTAACTATATTTGGAAACAGAAATGTATTATTTAGGACCATACAGCTCCAGAATTTCGTTCTTATATGGATTTTATTTCACTGAATGAACAGTGGTAGACAATGCTTACCTGGCACACCTGGTGGTGTTTTCAGGTATTTTCCATTAAAATGTTGAATTACAACTTCACATTTTTCAGTGGATTCCATTCTGAGGAAGAAAAATACATAAATAAAAATAGTGATTGTTATTGCATATATGTCTCCTGTCTCCCTGGGGAATATGATGCAATTGATGAATATTTTCCTCACAAAGGAGACATTCTACAAAATATTTGAAAAAAAACCTCTGATAAAATAGTCCATAATCCCAATCCTTTGGACAGGTAGTCCAAATGTGATTCATCTGGCCAGTAAGCTGCCTTACATGAGACTACAATGATGTGATTCATTGGAATGATACACCAGAGCTAAGGAGAATTTACTAGAAGCACTTCAGGAGTTGAGACAGAAATCATTAAAATGGTTTGAATTCCACCACATAGTATAAAAGGAGGATGAAACACCTGAAGCCTTCTGGATTTGCCTCCTTGAAACTCCGTTGCATCTGGACCCAAATAACCAAAAGGATAAAAGAATTCTAGTCTCTATATTTATTGACCAATCTGCTAATGACATTTGGAACTGCTTCCAAATATTTTCTCAAATTAGTCAATACTCAAAATTCCTGAGTTGTGCTGAATTGCCAACTTTATGTTTGATCAGAGAATGAAACTGAGGGAAACAAATTGAGAGAGGAAGAAAACTGAAAAAAGGGTGAGAAAGGGGGTGGAGAAGAAAATTAGAATGGAGGAAAGATCTCAGAATGTTTGCTCCCCTATAAAGAGAAAGAAAAGAACCCCAAACCTCAAAGGAACTGACAGAAATCCATAGGTTATTATCAGTGTGGGAGGGAAGGTCATATTAATAGAGAATGCTAGTTCCAAAAGAAACCTCAGCTTCACTATGGCATCAACTCATCTCCAGTGCCTTTCTCTAAAACCAACCCCCCCTTCTGGTGATGAACTACCAGTCCTCTCCCTTTAATTCTTTGTTGATAAATTTAAATTTAACATAGTGCCAGTCCTCTCTTTTCCAATCAGGGAAGAAAAGAATACAGATTCTGAATTCTTATAATTAACTCCAGGGCAAACCAAGATCAATATATCCTTCTTGGGGCTCACAATTCTTCTCAAACAGAACCCCAAACGTGAATCTCTACTGATTCTCAGCATAACAGGAAAGAAAAATTGACACTGGGGCTACCACTTCATTAATTATTCAAGCCCTATTTAAAGGATCTGTAGTGGCCAGTGTATGTAGCAATATTATTGAGGTGGGTGGGGGAAATTGATTCCTGTCAATTCACTAGTGAAATGAGGGTAGAAGTAGAGACTTAGTCCTTTAATGTGTTCCTCCTCATCCCTTTTTTAATGGACAAAGATTTATTCTTCAACCTTGGGCCATGATAAAGTGCATTTTGGGCGAGCTAATTCTGGATGTCCTCCTCACATACATATACTGCTTAATCCAGAGGTCTCGAATCTTTTTGATTTGGTAATTTGGAAGGGAGGCAGGCATTGTTACGTGTGTGTGTGCAAATAGGCAGTATGCAACCGTGCGCAAAGATGAGCTCCATGCAAATGCGCATAAATGGGCCATATGTGAGCGCATGCGCACATGCAAATGGGGCTGCATGGGTGCGAGTGCTGCAAATGGGGCAGTGCTAGCAGGACACTATGAGTGGCACTAGTGCTGGTGGGACACTCTGGGATGGGGTGGTGCTAGTGCCAGTGGGATGGTCGGGGTTGGGGTGGCACTAGCACCAGCAGGACGCTTGGGGAAGGGGGTGCTAGTGCTGGTGGGATGCTTGGGGTGGGGTGGCACTAGCATGAGTGGGGGACTGGGTGCACGCACGTGTGCACTGGCCATCCTTTCACAGGGCCTGTAGGGAGCTGCAGCCCACAGATTGGGGATCCCTGGCTTAACCAATATATATTTTTTCAAATAAAACCCAGATCTTTCCTTCTGACCTACATGACCTTTCAGCCATCCTATGGAGATGGGATTTCACCTACGTGGGGTTCATAAGGAGTGCAACTCCTCTTAAAAATCAAGTGAAACCGGAACCACCATCCTACTGATATAGCACCTTGACGGAGGCAACTGAACCCTTCCAGAAACTAATAGGTGTTTTATGTAAGTGTACTTTACTTTGTAAGATCCTAATTTTTCGTCCCCAAACCTAGGAAAAATGCTGAAGGGAAACCCACACCTAAGGCTCATTAAATCAGATGTTATTCCCAAAGCATCCATTGTACCAAACTTTGTCACTATAATTCTCGCATTTCCTGCCTCTGCCAAGTCTTTCATTATCATTGATTTATGTGTTATTTTCTTTAGCATTCTGGTAGATCCTGCATCCTTATACCTATTTAGCTTCACCTGGCAGAATCAACAATATGCCTATACTTGCCTACCAAAGGGATGTATTGAGTCACCCACTCTCTTCTCTCAAATTTTGAAAGCAGATCTTTCCTCCATTTCCCTGTACTATAGTTCCATTCATATCCAATATGCAAATGATTTACTGTTGGCTTCTCCATCTCAGGAAGAATGCTGTATTGACATCCACCACCAGATGTCCAACTTATTTTATTTATTTATTTGTTTATATCCACCTTTATTATTTTTGCAAATAATTCAAGGCAGCAAGCATACCCGGCACACCTTCCTATTTTTCCCACAACAATAACCCTGTCAGGTGAGTTGTCCTGGGAGAGAGTGAATGGCACAAATCACCCTGCTTGTTGTCATGGCTAAAGCAGGGCTTGAATTCATGACCTCTTGCTTTCTAGCCTAGTGTCTTAAAGAGTATACCAAACTGGCTCAAAATCAAATCAAGAAAATGCTTCTAATACTAGAAATTGCAAAAGAAAAAACTATGGTGATAATTTTTCAAAGATAAAAGTGTTATTCTTGAATTACTTTAGCTATAATATGGCCTGGGATGTTTGGAAACAAATATTCTATTTTTTAATAACTTTGAAATCATCTAACCAGCTTTGCATAACCTATCTAATTTTCCCCACTTGGCATGTCTGCCAAAAGGAATTTTCAGTTGTGGTGGTCAGAATTAATAGAATAACAAAGTTGGAAAGGACTTTGGAGGTCTTCTAGTCCAATATCTTGCTCAAGAAGAAAACCCTATTCCATTTCAGACAAATTCCTATCCAGTCTCTTCTTAAAAACTTTCAGTGTTGGAGCACCCACAGCTTTTGGAGGCAAGGCGTTCCACTGATTAATTGTTTTAACTGTCATGAAATGTCTCCTTAGTTCTACGTTGGTTCTTTCCTTGATTATTTTCTATCCATTACTTCTTGTTCTGAATTCAGGTGTTTTGAAGACTCATTCTTCTTTGTAGTAGCCCTTAGATATTGGAACACTACTATCATGTCATCCCTAGTCCTCCTCTTCATTAAACTAGACATACCCAATTCCTACAACTGTTTATATGTTTTAGCCTCCAGGCCCTTAATCACCTTTGCTGCTCTTCTCTGCACTCTTCAACATCATTTTGATCAATTCTCTTTCTTGAATGAAGGCAAATATCTTTGTCCCAGGATAATGATGCAAAATCGAATTTGGGTCAGTCACCAGCACCAGAGTTTTACTTTTTCAAGCTTTCAGACTCATGCTGCAGCTCATCTTCAGGGAATTTCTCTATTGGAATATGTGCTTTGGGCTATTCTGTGAGTTGTGTCTATGTGGTGCCTTCCTATTGGCTGATTGGTGTGTTGATCGCTGATGTTTTGCTGTCATTTCCTTTGGCTGCAAAGCTCTCAGCTCCTAAGTATTTGATAGGTTGCTAGTAATTCAGCACTCCTGTTAACTGGCAAGAGGCCTGCTTTCCAGGTTTAAATAATTCCCTAGCTATCTTTGTACCTGCATGGCCAATGATCTTAGTTGCTGCAAAATTAAATGTGTGTCCTTGAGTTTGGGTTTCCTCATCTGACCACTCACTTGTGTTCTTGAAATCTGGTGGTTAGCATCCTCCCCGTTTGTCCTATACAGTTACAGGGGCAATTTTCTTTCTATACTTTTTTATCAATTCTCTTTCTAAATTTCAGTTAGCATTTGGCTAACAGTCCATTATGGAAGCCTATTTAGAAACCTGGACTGCATATACAATTATCCTTGCATTATTATTGTTAGAGGTGTTATTTTTTTCTTATCATCATTATTTAAATAGTTAATATTGTTGGAATATCATATAACAGGAACATACTGTATACTTAGAACTCAAGAGATATATTATTTTATAGATTTATGTTGTTACTAATTTTATTTTCTCCTTTTTATAAATAAGTAAAATCATTAAATGAAACAAATAAGAGAATGAAGCTTAATCATTCAGCCATACCATATACTTTATCAAACATTAGTCAGTCAGGATGGGAGACTAGCAAAGGTGATGAAAAACCACCTGGAGTGAATGTAAAATAAGGATCCCTTTCAATCCTTTTGATCACTTCATCCTTAATATACTATGATTGGAAAAAATTTTTGGTGAACTTACTGCAGGAATTGTTCTGATTTGAATCCAATTGTCCTGTTCTTGTCATTTCTTACTTTGCAATTTTATTTACTTTTTTTTTGAGTGCCGCTGCCATATCACCACTCTTAGATCATGCCTTATGAATTTTGGACACTTCTTGCCTTGTGAACCCTCTTGTATTGTGGATTTAATTTTGCCTAGTGGATTTATTTTGATTGGAAAACTTTCAAGTGCCTTGTGGACTCATTGGCTATTGCTCTATGGACCAGCATTGGTCTGCTTCTGGCTGAACTTAATTGGGACAGTTCTGGGTTTTTGGTGAAGAGAATTGCAGGGGAATATTAATAAACCACTAAACCACAGTTACGTGTGTGTGTGTGTGTGTGTGTGTGTGTGTGTGTGTGTGTGTGTGAGAGAGAGAGAGAGAGAGAAAGGGGGGGACAGTACACATACATATATACTTTTCATTGCATCTAAGTTATTTTTTCATATTATGAGAATTATTTCCTATGCATTACAAATACATAACTTTATGAGTATTATAATATATATTATTTTATCTATTTATTTGTATTCCACCATTACTATTTTTACAAATAGTTCAAGGTGGTGAA